TATATATATATATATATATATATATATATATATATATATATATATATATTTATTTATTTTTTTTTTAAATGTGATCAAAATCACCTGTTTTGTCATCACTTCAGACATTACGCTAGAGAATCATTGAAATACTAGTTTTAAAGTGACGTTGGTAAAGTAGCAACGGTTTCTGTTGTGCTGATGGTCAGCTGCAGATATCAATGAATGCCGCAATAAAGTAGTTCTTCATAAAAAAGGATTTTGAGACTGTCCGTATTTGATTTTCTTTTTTTATACATTTGATTAACCTGTCAAACTGTTGTATAAATGCAATATCACAATCGTAGTAGTGCGATATGGCTGTATATTGTCACAGCCACTTCTACTGGTGTGATATTGCTCATAAACCACACACATATACAGGCAAAACAAAATTGAAACCCGTGGCACTTGTTGATACATTGAGGTCTTATACACCTAAAACAATGGGTCAATCAGTCTAGAAAACGGACATTGATATAATAGCTGTTATTATTATTAATTAGCAATATCATCAAGGCCACAAACCGCACAGACTTTGAGGGGAAAATTTTCAACATGTTTTTTTTTTCCATTGTTGACACTTGAATGTACTGAATAGTTACAGCCTTAAATCAGATATCCATGTCTACAAATGTCCAAATATAGTAATTTAATTTAAATCTACAGACACATGCAAAGTACACTTGTATTGACTGTCCATTTCTTTGTGCTTTACAAGGCAAAGCTGCTACATTTATTTCACAAACCTGCATGTATTATCCTGAACAATCTCTTCGTTCCAAAACCTACAAGTTGCCTTGCTGTCTACCTATCAGCTGCCTTGTACTGAAGATTCTACTACCATAAAACCAAAGCTGCGTCCCAAATGGCACACTATGCACTATGCACTCATGCACTATGTACTTATGCACTTACACACTCAACAGGATAGTATATGTATGTGGTGTCGTCCCAAATGGCACACTAATGGGTTTTTACTAAGCGGAAATTCAAACCGTTTCCCTGATGACGTTTGACGGTTGCCAAATCAGTGAAATAAACGACCGAATTATCAGATAATACCTGCCGTGAGTATTGCCGCATTCACCATCAGGAGGCGCTATAATCACTCTCATAGGAGAATTTTGCTTTCACCATCCTAAATAAATAAAGTTATTCAACATGTGCGTCCGATAGCTCCGCCCTTTCCGCTACGTAAGCAAACCTGCGGTATTTGAGTGCATGAAGTGTCCATCATTACACACTTCATTTTAGCGGCTGAATGAGTGCATCATCCGGGTAATTAAAGTGCACTTATTATTTTTAGAGTTTTCAGTGTGAACACACTACTTACACTATTTATACTACAAAATGGCGTAGAATAGTGCATAAGTATGCGATTTGGGACGCAGCTCAAGTGTAGCAACTGATTTGAAACACTCTTAGTGCAGTCCAAATGGGATATATCGCCCTCCAGAGGGCAATTTAGAGTGGAAGCAATCATGGCTGCCATCTTGAAGTGTCGTTGCAAATAGAAAGTGATTATAACTGGACACTTAAAAGGGCCCTTCGGATTTTAAATCGTTTAAATAACGAGTGCCCAAACTCGTTCCTGGAGGGCCGGTGTTCTGCAGATTCTAGCTTTAACTTGCCTCAACACACCTGCACAGATGTTTCTAGAAAGCCTAGTAAGGGATTGATTAGTTAGCCCAGGTGTATCTGATTGGGGTTTGAACTCAACTTGGCAGGACACCGGCCTTTCAGGACCAAGTTTGAGCACTCTTGGTATAAATGATGAACACTGTGATCCCCCGTGATCCTTTGCGCAAGAAAATTATATGGTGTCAATCAGTTTATTCTGTTCAGAAGGACACATCCCTATGCCCTAATCCCTGCAGAGTTTAGCTTCACCCCTAATCAAAAACACCTGATTATAGCTTTCTAGGCTGCATTCCAGTCCATATTTTTATGCCCTTCACTTGCTAACTTTCATTCACTCGGATGTAGTTCACTGATTATGCTACACAAATGTCTACTACTGGCAAACATCTGAATGGGTGCAAATAGAATGCCCTAAACCAGGGGTGCTCAATCCTGTTCCTGGATATCTACCTTCCTGCAGATTTCAGTTGCTACCCATATCAAACACACCTGAACCAAGTAATTAGGACCTGAACACCACTTGATAATTACAGGCAGGTGTGTTTGATATGGGTAGCAACTGAAATCTGCAGGAAGCTAGATATCCAGGAACAGGATTGAGCACCCCTGCCCTAAACCCTTAAACACTTGGGAACTACACCGTCATGACATCACAATGTGCAACAATGTTTTACCATTCTTGCACATTTACCATTTGCAACATGGTAGGCTGTTGTTGACAGTGTTGTGACATGGACAGATTTGCAGAGAATGCCACAAGAAAGGTTGAGCTTCCTAATCAGGGCAACATATTTCATTCTCCCAAGCCCAAGGAATCTACATCTCTGGTATGCTGTAGAGGAAAGCTGTCAGCTTTGTGGCCATCCAAATCCAAGTTTACAACACATCCTGGCCAACTGCAGCATTGAGTGAAGGATGATACAGATGGCGTCACGACCAGGTCATGCGAAAACTAGCAGAAGACATTGGAGCTTGCAGACTGGAAGCCAACAGGACCACAACAGTAACATCTCACGGTCTTTTCCAGTTTGTGAGGGAGTGGGGTGAGGCACTTAAGGCTGATTTATACTTCTGCGTCAAACGCCGGCGTATGCTACGGCGCTGACGCATAGCCCTTCGCCGTGGCCGTCGCTGACGTGCACCTCTCAAAAATTGTAACTACACCTCACAACGACACGTAGCGCAAGCTCTGTGATTGGTCGGCTTGGTAGCGCTGACGAGTCTGGGCGGGACCGAGAGCGGTGCGAATGGCGCGAGCTGGACGCGAGCCCAATGGAGCAATTGTTTACAAGTGTGGAGTCCCGTGAAGGAGATCCTGATGGAAAGTTTTGTTTTGTGTTTATCTCATAGTTAAAATTGTTGCACGTCCGCCGGTTCCTGCCTCAAATTGAGCGAATTTGAGCCACTTGTACATCCCGGAAGTGTTCAGGAAAAGCAAAACAACAGACAAGAAACTCGACACAGAGGAACATTAACACCTCACTGCCAACTAGCGTTTCGGAAGTGTTAATGCAGACCAACGGAGACGAGATGATTAATCAGATGATTAATTTTTATTTTGGAGGGTAATATCTAAGCCAATTTATACTTCTGTATCGAGTCCACGCAGTAGGTCTAGTGTAACCTTCAAACAGTTCCATTCTCCTCATTGCACCATGACAGACCCTGACACCCACCTTTAAAAAAAATTTACCTACATGTGACATTACAGAGTGTAAGGTTTGTGATTGGTTGGCTTTGTGTGTGGGTGGGGCCAAGAGTCATGGAAGCAGAGTGAGGCCAAGGCCCAATTCAACCCTTTAGCCCTTCCCCTTAAGGCTGATTTATACTTCTGCGTCAAACGCCGGCGTATGCTATGGCGCTGACGCATAGCCCTTCGCCATGGCCGTCACTGAAATGCACCTATAAAAAATGTAACTACACGTCAAAGCGACGCGTAGCTTAAGCTCTGTGATTGGTCGGCTTGGTAGCGCTGACGAGTCTGGGCGAGACCGAGAGCCGCGCGAATGGCGCGAGCGATTGTTTACAAGTGTGGAGTCCCGTGAAGGAGCTCCGGATGGAAAGTTTTGTTTTGTGTTTACCTCATAGTTAAAGTTGTTGCACGTCCGCCGGTTCCTGCCTCAAAATTAGCGAGTTTGAGCCACTTGTACATCCCGGAAGTGTTCAGGAAAAGCAAAAAAGCAGCGAAGAAACTCGACACAGAGGAACATTTACATCTCACGGCCAACTAGCGTTTCGGATATGTTAATGCAGACCGACAGAGACAGGGCGCAGAAGTAAAAATGCACAGCCACGCGCGTTGCATGCGCCGTGGGTTACGCAGGTCACTTGACACAGAAGTATAAACCAGGCTTTACCCCTACCCCTCGTGTTGTGCATTCATGTGAAGGGGTAGGGGTGTCTCAATTCTCTTTAGCTTGAAAGCGTAGGGATAAGGGAATTTTGGGATTTCTTAAAAAAATTAGTGTGTTTGAGCTACTTCTTAAGTAACTCACAATGGCATTGACTTTATGCAAGGTATGGCACAGGGGTACGGTGATCACTCAATGTAGAAGTATAAATCAACAACTTTAATCATAAAATTAACACACAAAAAAGTATCTGAAGCTTGTCCATTGAACTCAACACTTGTTAAACATTCACTCTGCTCTGGCAGTGCTCGGCCTCGCCCACACACACACTGCCACAAAACAGACCAATCACAGACTTTGCAGCCTGCATCGTTACAATTTTTTAAAGGGTGCACATCACATTCTGTGACTGTACAAAGACTACACCAGTGTCATAACAAAACAAGTCCTCCCTTAGAAATCGGGTCCACCTAGGACACGGAATGATCTTGTTGGTTCACTCGAGTTTTTAATAGGTAGAATTTGTAGCTTCCTACTGCATGGACTTGACACAAAAGTAAAAAATTGGCCCTATATCAGGCTTTCATTAGACCATACGTCTCAAACTCAATCCCTGGAGGGTCACAGCTCTGCACAGTTTAGCTCTAACTAATCAAGGTGTTCAAGACTTCTCTTGAAAACCTTGAATCAGCTGTTACATGGTACATACACCTGGTACATGTATGAACACCTAAATCTGGTGTGTTTGATTAGGGTTGGAGTAAAACTGTGCAGAGCTGTGACCCTTTAGGAATTGAGTTTGAGACCTATGCATTAGACCAGGGGTCACCAATCTCGGTCCTGGAGGGCCAGTGTCCCTGCAGGGTTTAGCTCCAACTTACCTCAACACACCTGCCTGGGTGTTTCAAGTATACCTAGTAAGACCTTGATTAGCTTGTTCAGGTGTGTTTGATTAGGGTTGAAGCGAAAATCTGCAGGACACTGGCCCTTCAGGAACAAGTTTGGTGACCACTGCATTAGACAGTTCATTAGATTTCCCAAACAGAGTCATAACTGCATAACATCGAAGCAGACAAGATCGTTACCATCAGACACATTGAGTTTACAGTGTTCTTGGCTTTTGTTTTGGCCATCTTAGCTCTGGGCTTCAGGTACTTCTCTTAGTTGTGAATGACCTGGTTTTAATTCCCAATCCTCACATACTTCTGTCCGCAATTGTATCCTTTTTAGCAACAACTTTATTCCATGAGGGACTCGATTTGTCATCACACGAACCTACTGCCTGGACAAGACAAAGAAGTATAAATTGGTGATCCCTGCTCTATACCAAGCTTTCAGTTCATTAGATTTCCCAAACAGAGTCATTATCGCTCACCGTTTTTACACTCTAAACATTGGAGCAGACAAGATCATTACCAACAGACATTGAGTTTAACACTGTTCTTGGCTTTCTTTTTGGCTGCCTTTGCACTGGGCTTCAGGTATTTCTCTTTGTTGTGATTGACCTAAATTGATTTCCTAATTCTTGTAAACTTCTCTCTGTGCCTGTATCCCTTCTAACATCAACCTGATCAGGAGGGACTCAATTTGTCATCAACCGGCCATTCCGCACGGTCTCAACAAAGAAGTATAAATTGGCTTTATATCAAACTTTCGACAGTTTTTGACAGTTTCCTAAACAGAGTCATTATCTCTCACATTTTTCACTCTAGACATTGAGTTTACTGTGTTTTTGGCTTTCTTTTTGGCCGCCTTTGCACTGGGCTTCAGGTATTTCTCTTTGTTGTGAATGACCTGGTTTTAATTCCCAATCCTTGCATACTTCTGTCCGCAATTGTATCCTTTTTAGCCTGGATTTGATTCCTAATTCTTGTAAATTTCTGTCTGTGCCTGTATCCCTTATAACAACAACCCGATCAGGAGTGACTCAATTTGTCATCAACCAGCCATTCCGCACGGTCTCAACAAAGAAGTATAAATTGGCTCTATATCAAACTTTCGACAGTTTTTGACAGTTTCCTAAACAGAATCATTATCTCTCATTTTTCACTCTAGACATTGAGTTTAACACTGTACTTGGCTTTCTTTTTGGCCGCCTTTGCACTGGGCTTCAGGTATTTCTCTTTGTTGTGATTGACCTAAATTGATTTCCTCATTCTTGTAAACTTCTCTCTGTGCCTGTATCCCTTCTAACATCAACCTGATCAGGAGGGACTCAATTTGTCATCAACCGGCCATTCTGCATGGTCTCAACAAAGAAGTATAAATTGGCTCTATATCAAACTTTCGACAGTTTTTGACAGTTTCCTAAACAGAATCATTATCTCTCATTTTTCACTCTAGACATTGAGTTTAACACTGTACTTGGCTTTCTTTTTGGCCGCCTTTGCACTGGGCTTCAGGTATTTCTCTGTGTTGTGATTAACCTGGATTTGATTCCTAATTCTTGTAAATTTCTGTCTGTGCCTGTATCCCTTCTAACAACAACCCGATCAGGAGGGACTCAATTTGTCATCAACCAGCCATTCCGCACGGTCTCAACAAAGAAGTATAAATTGACTCTATATAAAGCTTTAAGTTCATTCGATTTTCCAAACAGAGTCATTATCGCGTACCATTTTTCCACTCTAAACATTGGAGCAGACCAGATCGTTAACATCAGACATCGAGTTTTACACTGTTCTTGGCTTTCTTTTTGGTCATTTGAACTGCGCTTCAGGTACTCCTCTTTGTTGTGCAAGACCTGGATTTAATTCCTAATTCTTGTTAACTTCTGACTGTGGCTGTATCCCTTCTAATAACGACCCGATTCCGGAGGGGACTTTATTTCATTACACCAAACCTACTGCCTGGACTTGACATAGAAGTATAAACTGGCCATATATCAGGATTTTATATCAGACAGTTCATTAGAGTTCCCAAACCGAGTCATTATCACCGCTTTTCCACTCTAAACATTGGAGCAGACGAGATCGTTACCATCAGACACATTGAGTGTGACACTATTCTTGGCTTTCTTCTTGGTCATCTTTGCGCTGGGCTTCAGGTACTTCTCCTTGTTGTGAATGACCTGGATGTACTGGTCTGTGCTGCTGTTTTGTTGGTCGCTGCTAGACGCCAATGATGCCGAATCTGACTCGGTCAGCGACGGCTCCACTTTATGCTTGGTCTTGGGCTTGACGTAGGTTTCACCATATCTGTGAGTTGACTCTGGGCCTCGGACGTTAGTTTGAGAGCAAGGATGCAAGTTTACCCAATCGTCTTCCTGACCGTATTCCTCTTCATCACCATATATACCATGCTCCATTGACAATTGACTATTTACACTATCGCCAATGTAGAATCGTGGTGTCGGACGGATGTCCGACAGGGACTTAGGACGGCTTGATCCCCTCCTCGTGCTGGTCTTGGGATCTTCTTCATCCTCCTCTTCTTCCTCACTGAGATGCGGCTGGTGGCTTCGGTGAGGAGTACGAGGAATGTAGCATTTTACGTTGCGAGGATACAGCTCTACAATCTCTGGTTCGTCCGGTAAGCGGTAATGCCTCGGTATGCGTGTATTGGTGCGCATGATTTTCTTGCGAGCATCGTGTTCGTTGACGATGACGTAGCGTGTTGTGTGTGCGCGCCGGCCCACGTAGCTCTGAGCCGTGATCACGCTGGGCTCGGTGTGCATCGGTCGGAGGGTTTTCCGAAACAGTGGATCAGAGTGGATGTTTTCGGTATATCGCGTGCATGGGTTGTAGGCCATGTTGTGGTAGGACTTGGATCGGCTGGAACCGCTGGTGCTGCCCATGTACCCAGAATGCCTGGACATCAGAGAATGCAACAAGTGACATAAATATTTATGTTTATATGCAGTTGAAGTCAAAATTTTTAGCGCCCTTATATTTTTCTCCCAATTTCTGTTTAACTGAAAGAAGATTATTTTCCAACACATTTTAAACATTTTAATGGTTTTATTTATTAACAAATTTATAAAAACTTATTTCTTTTACTTTACCTCTTAAATTATCTTGTAATGTATATGTTTAAAGTCCAATTCCAGGTCACGGTCATTAAAGATTTTTTTTGAGAAACAAAATGCAGATTTTACACAAAAACTGAATAATGATTTACACAGTCAAGGACTAAAACAACCATAAAATATACATACATTCTTCATATAAGAGGTTGCTTTGAAACAAAGAAAATAATACACGGTTGGAATGCCATTCAAGTAAATAAACTTGACGGTGATTTTTTTTAAGTATCAGACAAGCAGCAATTAGTATGAAGTCAATGAATTTTATGAAATCAAAAGGTAAAGCCAAAGATGAAAAGTAAGCTGATGACATATTTCTGAAAGTAAAAGAAAAAGGGCTTTTTAAAAGACTTCTTTTAAGGAAAGCTCTATGAACAGCATCTAAATGTACATTCAGTTCTTTAGTAGATACATTAAAAATGGATATTCACAACCAAGAAATACCTAGAATTAATTGCTAAATAAAACCAAGTTTCATCAAAAAAAAAAAAAAAAAAGTGTACACTACCCGACAAAAGTCTTGTCATCTATCCATGTTTTAGGGACAACAAATAATAACTGGACTTCTAGTTGATCATTTGGTATCAGAAGTGGCTTATATGTGAGGCAATTGCCTCTAAGGGTACTTGCACACTTAGTTCGATTGCCTGGAGTTTGATTGCCCCCCCTTGCCACTTTCTCGGTTGGTTTGTGTTCACACTGTCTTCTTTCCTTCGGAACCCAGGTTTGCTTGTGTCATTGAGCTGCTGTTTTGTGTACGGCTGATGCTAGGTGAAGGATACAAAAGCAAAATGGAAGGACGTCCGCACATCATGGTTGTTCTGCTTTTGCTGAATCTTTTAGTTTTTGACATAAAGAAAGCGACTCGCGTCCATCTGCCACACAAATATTATAAATGTTCAGAACATAAAGCGATGTCCACAGAAGCTGTTTTTGCAGCAGACAAGCAGACATTATCATCAGTGTGTTTTTCCTGGCTCAGTCCCGCCTGTCACCAAGGTACAGTACGTGATACACAGACAGACAGACAGAAAGGCAGGCAGGCAGGCACGCACACACACACACACACACACACACACACACACACACACACACACACTCAAATGAACAATATTAAAAAGATAGTTTGTTGTACTGTTGGCGGTTTGCTTCCGTTTTTTGGTACGATTGCATTGTGTGCACCTCTTTCACACAGACTCGGGTATGGTTGTGGGTGCGCATCCAAGTTCAGAAGACACGTTCACACTAGCTAAACGTACGGCACTATAACGTCAAATGAATCCGGGTGCGGACCAAAAGTGCTAGTGTGAAAGCACCCTAGATTATGCTTTACACTACCTGACAAAAGTCTTGTCGCCTACTAAATTTTTAGAAACGACATAATAAATTGACTTCTAGTTGATCATTTGGTATCAGAAGTGGCTTATATAAAAGGCAAAGGCCTCTAGATTAAGGCCAAAATAAAATATTATCATGCCTTGATTTTTAATGATTTACTTAGGACAGTAAGGTCTGACTTTGCTTAGACAAAAGTCTTTCCAGAAATAATGTCCAGTATAGAATATAAAGTCATGCTGCAGTGGAAACAGAATGAATATTGTGTCTGACTCCCATCAGCTTGGAGGACTGCATCCATACATCTCTGCAATGACTCAAATCACTTATTAATAAAGTCATCTGGAATGGCAATGAAAGCTTTCTTGGAGGACTCCCAGACTTCATCAAGATCCATTGGATTAATCTAGGTCTATGTGGGTTTCAGTAGGTCTTCTACAGTATTTGTGATGATTGGGATGCAGTTCAACAGATGATTCATCAAAACAATCTACCTTCTGCCACTTTTCTAAATGATCAACTAGAAGTCAAGTTATTATTTGTTGCTCTTACAATTAAGATTGACGACGAGACTTCTGTCAGGTAGTGTAATGTTTGCAGTTGTGGAATAGTTGAGTGCTCTCAGAAGAATTAACTGTAGGAATGTTTACCAGGGAGGAAAAAGCACATTTTCAGAAATGCACGTACACAATTCCACTAAAGTCAGACAGTGTTCTGATAGGTTTACAAGCTGCAATATAAAATGTACTTTTTGGTAAAGCACTTAACATTAATTACTTAGAAAAAAGTAACCCTATCTAAACTGGGACTAATTTCTTAAGTGGATGTACTTTTGGTTATGTAATGCTGACAGAAGTTTACTTTATGTATCCATTTTATGTATCAAGAAAAGTTTCATGGCATTTTAATAGTTTGAAAAAATTACTTCAGTAAATTACAACAGTATACAATATAATTAAGTGCTTATGTATCAGTATATGAACATATTTATCAGTTACAGTGACAGTGTTTTTTGTGTTTTCTTTACTAATACTTTGGGACATATTAATTTACAGTATTTACTTTTTTAATAATTTGGTTGTGCCAATGATGAAAAGTGGTTTGGGAACATCAAAACAAAAATGAATAAGAATGTTACAGAATAAGCATGTTTCATTTTACATCACTGTTACACAAAGTAACAAAACAATATTTCACCCATATTTTATTTTCAGAAAATATAAATAAAACTAATTAAAGGAGACAATAAACTAGCTTAATTAACCACCTATATACACTAACCGGCCACTTTATTAGGTACACCTGTCCAACTGCTCGTTAACGCAAATTTCTAATCAGCCAATCACATGGCAGCAACTCAATCCAATTAGGCATGTAGACATGGTCAAGATGACCTTGCAGTTTAAATCGAGCATCAGAATGGGGAAGAAGGGGGATTTAAGTTTCTTGGCCGTATCACTTGAAGATGGCATGGTTTTTGGTGCCAGATGGGCTGGTTTGAGTATTTCAAAAGCTGCTGATCTACTGCTGGATTTTCCCATTTTCTGAAGACTAGATTTAGCAGGATAACATGCCATGTCATAAAGCGTGAATCATCTCAGACTGGTTGAGTTCACTGTACTCTAATGGCCTCCACGGTCACCAGAAATGGGATATTCCCATCATGGATGCACAGCCTATAAATCTGCAGCAATTGTGTGATGCTATCATGTCAATATGGAGCAAAATCTCTGAGGAATATTTCCAGTAGCTTGTTGAAGCTATGCCACGAAGGATGAAGGCAGTTCTGAAGGCAAAAGGGGGTCCAACCCGGTGCTAGTAAGGTGTACCTAAATAAAAGTGGCCGGTGAGTGTATATAAAAAATAAATTAATAACATTTTACACCAAATAGGGGTGTCTCATTTTGACCAGTGTTGCCAGGATTGAGGTTTTCTTGCATATTTGGGACTTTTGAATAAATACGATGTATAATATTCAATTTATATTGAATGGAGATAAATAGTGAATTTTCAGTTCATTTTATTTCAAATATTTTCCATAAATTCAGGCGCTCAAATTCGACTGTTAGAATTTGAATATTAAAAGCTACTTTTTGCTTTTATTAGCTTTTTTCTCGCCTATTTACAGGGTTAAAAATCTTAAATAATTCCATCTTCACCTGCTGGTGAAAAAGCAGCTGGCGATCTTCAATCTGCAATCTATTGCTTTTCCTGCAGTTCCAGGATGTAATGTCGAATTTTAACAGTCGAATTTGAGCCACTGAATTTATGGAAGCGAATATTTGAACTTAAATAAAATGAACTGAAAATTGACTTGAATATTATACATCATATTTTTAAAGGGTATTGAATATTTTATACGTGAAAACTGGAAATTAAATATGAATTATTGAATTTACAGTATGAAAACGTGTTTGAAATATTTTTAGTTGTAATATTCACAGCTTAAAAAAACAGATATGTTAAATTTCAGGACCTAAAAATACAAACTCTGAAATGCAAGTCATTAAAATGCAAGAACTTGTTAATTCGATGTATTATGTTTTTTAGTTTGTGCTATTCAACAAGCTTTTTAATTCAATTATTTTGGCATTCATTTTGTTCCATACGTGACCTCGACTACGCCTTTGGATTTTCCTGATTACTCCTTTTGTTCAAGTTTGACCATTGCCTCTCTAACAATCCTTAAATAAAACTGCTTATTTGATTCTCAACTCTGTTGTCACCCCGACTCCCCCTTTAATTACGCAATTAATCCATTATAGCCCAAATCACCTACTTAATTATACTTTGCCTAATCTTTCCCACATATTGTACTGTTTACAGAGCTTAACCTTAAATAGAAAGAGAAGTGCACGAACATGACTGACTTGTTTATCCACAATCAAATGTGATGAATGTATACCAAACCTGACGGGTATGAACTCCACTTGTCTCTGTCGTACTTGTCTTTGGGGAACTGAGGGGCTGCTGTACATTCTGTGTGCGCTACATGGGCAGAAATGGAGCATATGAAGCTTTATGAACTGCAGATGCATGGAAGCTAAAGCAGCAGTGAATTCAAAACAATAATAAAGCTTTTTACCCAACAGACCTACTGGCTGCGTGCTCCGCTTTGTGTTTCTGCCGCACGGGAACCGATGGACTCCGGGTCGCTCCGGCAGCTCTGGGAACATCAGACCGTGATGCCGACTGGGTTATAGTCTGGATGCTGTCTGCTGGCCGGATAGGAGACTCGAAGTTGGAGACGCTGCCATTACGGCGTGGAGGGGAGGCAGAGCGGGCAGACGACTCGACACTTGTTATGTCGCTCTCTTGTTCTGGGTTTTTATCGCCGCCCTCAGGTGCCTGCAGACGGGCTGTAAATCACAAATGTACACACTCAAATGTCCAGGCACCAGGCGACAAGCTGATACTGACTTATGACATTATACAAGGGAAAATTGTGTCACTGTCAGGGTTTTAAAAGTCCTAATTCAAAGCCTTATTTGTTTTATTTCAGCTAAAATAAAATCAGTTCTTATTTTTTAGACCATTTTAAGATTGTCAGCTTCCTTAAGTAATATTTTTTTTTCTGATTGTCTACAGAACAAACCATTGGTAAACAGAACAGTGATTTGCCTAATTAACCTAGTTAACACAATGGCCCCTTTCCACTGAGCGGTACGGTACAGTACGATTCGATACAGGTCACCTTTATCAGGCTTGTGTCTCCACTGCCAAATGGTGGTGTACTGTCAAAGTAAAGGTCGTTCACACATCATATGAGTAGCACTTCTCACAAAACAGATCCTTTATATACAAACACTTGTGCATAAATGTTCGTTACCAACCTTTCTATGAACATGATTTGATTATAACTGCACATCAATGAATGGACGAATGTGCAATTATATAAAATAAATAAATACATTAAGCAAATATGAACACATACGGACCCGAACACCCCATTCACACAGGGCTTCAGCGTCAACGCTTGACTCAAGGCGTGTCTGAAGTTGGGGCTGAATCGATCATCATAGAAGCGTCAGCCAATAAAATTCAGTCATTAATAGGCCACTGTCTAGCTAGTGTATTTGCATACAGCAATCTGATTGGCTGACGCTTCCATCGGCGCTTGAAAAGTTGAGCTGGTCCCAACTTCTGCAGCGAGCAACGCCTCTAAAGCGGCGCCGACGGATCAACAATGCAATTCGGCAATGCCTGACGTCACCCATTCAAAATGAAAGGGAAGCGTTGATGCTGACGCCCCGTGTGAATGAGGCGTTACAGTCTGTACTTCACTACTGTACTTACAGTAAGTACTAAAAGGCAGTATCTGTACTCTACTGGAGTACTGTTATTTTCTCCTACTTCCACTTTTACTTCACTACATATTTTCGATGGGTTTAATACTTTTACTCTGATAGATTTTTTATGTGCTGCATCGTTACTCGTTACTAGGAGTGTCAAAATTATAGATATTGTGTCAGTAAGAGATCATAACCGGTTATTACGTACTGACGTCATTTATCTCCTATGCGCAATGTCGTAGTAGAGTACTATGGCGAAGGAGGCAAGGGCGAGTAAATAACGCTCTTACTACTTAAAAGGTAGATAATTGTAGTAAGTAACTGCTTGTGAGTTTGCTGGACAGTCATTAACTGACAATGAAGGTGGCACAGCACACGAGCCGCTATTTTACTATTACGGAGTAATCTTGACCACTCTCTCTAACTTTGGACATGTGACCCGCTGGCCTGTTTCGGAGGTAACTTTTCCTCTCCTCTTGGCTGTTAAAGCGATACTTGTGGATCCAAAATCGAGCGTGCCTGAGGTGCGAGTTTTCTCCACTGTGTTTATTATGGATTACCTGTGATAATCGCATATTATGCTCATACAGACTGTAACTTTGGCTGTTCTTCCCACGCCACTCATCGGTGAACAGCGCTTTCATTTCTAAAGCCAATCGCAGCACTTTCTGTTGAGCAGGTGAAGACAATGACCAATGATAGGGGTGTAAGACCTCGCCTGTCAGCCTCAAAAAGCAAGCGGGATTATATTTACATTTAGTTACATTTAGTTTATTTGCTATAAATGATCATGCTGTCTTCTGTATTCTGTTCTGTATTGGAGTTTTGTTTGATACATTCAGAAAGAGTGTTTTCTTTAAGCAGGTCAAATTAGGGGAACAGTTTATAACCGGTAATTTGCGGAGAGGTGTATTGAAAATGGGTTTCAATAGAGTTTTGAGTGGATTACGGAGTGTTTTTGTGACACAAAACACAAAAAGTGGGTGTTAAAGCTGTTATAATCTGTCAAATCTGTGGTTCTGCTTATTAAGTGCCCCCAAAAAAGTTATTTAAAATAAACAAAACAATATGATGTCTTTTGACTGCTTTCTTCTTTTCCCTGTCTGATCTACTGCTCTGTTCCTGTTTGATCTACTTCTCTGTTCCTGTTTGATCTACTGCTCTGTTCCTGTTTGATCTATTGTTGTCCCTGTTTGATCTACTGTTCTGTCCCCGTTTGATCTACTGTTCTGTCCCTGTTTGATCTACGGTTCTGTCCCTGTTTGATCTACTGTTCTGTCCCTGTTTGATCTACTGTTCTGTCCCTGTTTGATCTACTGTTCTGTCCCTGTTTGATCTACTGTTCTGTCCCTGTTTGATCTACTACTCCTACTCTGTCCCCGTTTGATCTACTACTCTGTCCCTGTTTTATCTACTGTTCTGTCCCTGTTTTATTTACTGTTCTGTCCCCGTCCCCGTTTGATCTACTGTTGTCCCCGTTTGATCTACTGTTCTGTCCCCGTTTGATCTACTGTTTTGTCCCCGTTTGATCTACTGTTGTCCCTGTTTGATCTACTATTGTCCCTGTTTGATCTACTGTTCTGTCCCCGTTTGATCTACTACTCTTTCCCCGTTTGATCTACTACTCTGTCCCCATTTGATCTACTATTCTGTCCCCGTCCCCGTTTGATCTACTGTTCTGTCCCCGTTTGATCTACTGTTGTCCCTGTTTGATCTACTGTTCTGTTCCCGTTTGATCTACTGTTCTGTCCCTGTTTGATCTACTGTTCTGTCCCTGTGTGATCTACTGTTCTGTCCCTGTTTGATCTACTGTTCTGTCCCTGTTTGATCTACTGTTCTGTCCCTGTTGGATCTCCCTGTTTGATCTACTGTTCTGTCCCTGTTTGATCTACTGCTCTGTTCCCGTTTGATCTACTGTTGTCCCTGTTTGATCTACTGTTGTCCTTGTTTGATCTACTGTTCTGTCCCTGTTTGATCTCCCTTTTTGATCTACTGCTCTGTTCCTGTTTGATCTACTGCTCTGTTCCTGTTGATCTACTGTTGTCCCTGTTTGATCTACTGTTCTGTGCCGTTTGATCTACTGTTCTCTCCCCGTTTGATCTACTGTTCTGTCCCCATGTGATCTACTGTTCTGTCCCCGTTTGATCTACTGTTCTGTCCCTGTGTGATCTACTGTTCTGTCCCCGTGTGATCTACTGTTCTGTCCCTGTTTGATCTACTGTTCTGTCCCTGTTTGATCTACTGTTCTTTCCCTGTTTGATCTACTGTTCTGTCCCTGTTTGATCTACTGTTCTGTCCCTGTTTGATCTACTGTTCTGTCCCCGTTTGATCTACTACTCTGTCCCCATTTGATCTACTGTTCTGTCCCCATTTGATCTACTGTTCTGTCCCTGTTTGATCTCCCTGTTTGATCTACTGTTCTGTTCCTGTTTGATCTACTGCTCTGTTCCTGTTGATCTACTGTTGTCCCTGTTTGATCTACTGTTCTGTGCCGTTTGATCTACTGTTCTCTCCCCGTTTGATCTACTGTTCTGTCCCCATGTGATCTACTGTTCTGTCCCCGTTTGATCTACTGTTCTGTCCCTGTGTGATCTACTGTTCTGTCCCCGTGTGATCTACTGTTCTGTCCCTGTTTGATCTACTGTTCTGTCCCTGTTTGATCTACTGTTCTTTCCCTGTTTGATCTACTGTTCTGTCCTCGTTTGATCTACTGTTCTGTCCCTGTTTGATCTACTGTTGTCCTTGTTTGATCTACTGTTGTCTATGTTTGATCTACTGTTCTGTCCCTGTTTGATCTACTGTTCTGTCCCTGTTTGATCTCCCTGCTTGATCTACTGTTCTGTCCCTGTTTGATCTACTGTTCTGTCCCTGTTTGATCTACTGTTGTCCTTGTTTGATATACCGTTCTGTCCCCGTTTGATCTACTGTTCTGTCCCTGTTTGATCTACTGTTCTGTCCCTGTTTGATCTACTGTTCTGTCCTTGTTTGATCTACTGTTCTGTCCCTGTTTGATCTCCCTGTTTGATCTACTGTTCTGTCCCTGTTTGATCTCCCTGTATGATCTACTGTTCTGTCCCTGTTTGATCTACTGTTCGGTCCCTGTTTGAGCGGGATACCTTATGTCTTTTGTTTGTTTATTTATCGTTTTGGGACTTTGTTCCTGCGTTATATTGAATACGTCAATAAAGTATTTTACTTGCATATTGGATCCTTCTAGCACTTATTTTCACCTGTTACAGAACAAACTGACCCGAGACAAGAGACGCACTGTCCAGATATAGCCAAGATAACGAGTCGCAGCTGGCAGACTAATCAGGATAGCAGGGTACGACATAGCATGTGACACAACACTGACGTAACTGACAAACATGGAACACCAAAACAAAACAAAGCCTAGTGACCAAACAGACACTCAGAAGTGCACACACATTTGCAACCGTGACAACTTTCTTTGCCATTCCAGATGACCTGATTAATAAGTGATTTAAGTCTTTGCAGTGATGTATGGATGCAGTCCTCCAAGCTGATGGGAGTCAGACACAATATTCATTCTTTTTCCACTGCAGCATGACTTTATAATCTATACTGGACATTATTTCGGTTCAGTGACAAGACTTTAGTCTTAGCAAAGTCAGACCTTACTGTCCTAGTTAAAGAATTAAAAATCAAGGCATGATCATATTTTATTTTGGTAAAATAAGAGTAATCTAGAGGCCTTTGCCTTTCATATAAACCACTGCTGATCCCAAATGATCAACTAGAAGTCAAGTTATCATTTGTTGTTCCTAAAACCGTAATAGGCGACACGACTTTTGTCAGGTAGTGTGTGCTCAATTGAACCAAGCTAAGGGGGCAAATGTGCCAAGTTTCAAAATAAACGTATAGGTATGAAAGCACCCTAAGACTTTTACTTAATACTTACAGTAAGGTCTTAATTCAATGAAAAGCAATTGAAGGCTTTCAAAGACTTTAGGAAACACTGCTCTGTTAAACAGCACTTGAGAGATATTTTAAAACTTCACAGTAATTTTGCCTTCAGCTGTATATTGTGCGCACATTACTGCTCAACAGCCTCAAACAGTCCCTTGTATTGCTAATGAAGACAGTTTATAGACAAAGTACCTGCAGCTAGCTGAAACACTTTCTTCTTGTCTTCCGTGCGCTCCTGCGGAGGCAAAATTTAATTGATGTTGTAAAATAAACTGCTGGAGAAATGAGATTATAGGAAACCCAAAGACCTTCTTGTAAATCAGGGATCTGTTAAATGAATGAATGCGTCTTAATGAGGTTGTGTTTGCAGTGACTCACGGTCTGCAGCTGCAGTCTCAGCTGGCTGTTGGTGAACTTGAGGGATCTAGCAATGGACTGAAGGTAGTAGATCAGCATACTGAAAGAGACAGAGATCAACAGCATGAGGGTGAGTACACAGAAGCTATTTGTTCAGCTTGAAGGAATTATAATGGCTTTATAGGACTGACATGTTTATTGTATCAGGGTCTTTGTTTTTTTTTTAGTTTTTTTTTTACTTTCAAACCATTTAGCACTGCTGTAAGGCTATTTTCTTACTAACTAGATCAATGTGTTTTAGCCATGTTGCAGACAATAATATACAGTTGAAGTCAGAATTATTAGTCTTATTGTGAATTTCCTTTTCTTTTTTAAATATTTCCCAAATTTTAAGTTTAACAGAGCAAGGAAATGTTCACAAAATGTCTGAAAATATTTTTTCTTCTTGGGAAAAGTCTTATTTGTTTTATTTTGGCAAGAATAAAAGCAGTTTAAATTTTTTAAGGTCAAAATTATTTTTTTTTATTGTCTACAGAACAAACCATCATTATACAATGACTTTCCTTAGCATTCGCCTAGCAACCAATCAGAACACCCTAGCAACCACTTAACAGCACCTTAGCAATCGCCTAGAAATGTCTTAGAAACCACCTAGCAACACCTTAGCAACCACCTAGCAACTCCTTAGAAACCCCTTAGCAATGCCTTAGCAACCACCTAACAACCACTCAGAACACCCTGCCAACCGCCTAGCAAAGCCTTAGCAATCACTCAGAGCACCCTAGCAACCACATAGCAACAACTTTCAACCGCCTGGCAACACCTTAGCAACTACCTGAAACACTTAAGCAACCACGTAAGCAACCGCCTAGCAACCTCTCAGAACACCTTAGCAACCAACTAGCAACGCCTTAACAACCAGTCAAGACACCATAGAAACCGCCTAGCAACCACTCAGAACACCCAAACAACTGCCTAGCAACACCCAAGCAACCACTCATAACACCCTAGCAACCACTTAGCAACACCTTAGCAATCGCCTAGAAACACCTTGGAAACCGCCTAGCAACACCTAGGCAACCACCTAGCAATGCCTTAGCAACCACCTAACAATCACTCAGAACACCCAAGCAACTACCTAACAAAGCCTTAGCAACTACTCAGAACACCCTAGCAACCAGATAGCAACAACTTTCAAATGCCTAGCAACACCTTAACATATACCTGGAACACCCAATCAACCACGCAAGCAACCGCTGAGCAACCACTAAGAACAACTTAGCAACCACCTAGCAACACCTTAACCAGTCAAAACACCCTAGCAACCGCCTAGCAATCACTCAGAGCACCATAACAACTACCTAGCAAACACTCAAAACATCCTAGCAACCACTTAGCAACACCTTAACAACCACTTAATAGCACCTTAGCAACCGTTTAGAAACACCTTAGAAACCACCTAGCAACACCTTAGCAACCACCTAGCAACACCTAGGCTACCACCTAGCAAAGCCTTAGCAACCACCTAACAACCACTCACAACACCCTAGCAACCGCCTAGCAAAGCCTTAGCAATCACACAGAACACCCTATCAACACTGGGTGTAACAACAAAGTTTCACACTTTGTAACAGTGTTTTCCACTTTCCAGCAACCATACAAGCAAGCATTCGACAGTGCCATAGAATGAAAGGTTACAGAACATTCTAAATGATCAAATAACATTCCAAAAGAACTGTAGAAACATGTCAAATATACCAAACCATTCTAAACAATCATGTCAAGTTATTCTAAAATATTGCATAACTTTTTTTTACTGTATTTTAAACATGCTGTAAATGTATCCTAAAACATTTCCATCTTCTGTTATTAACACATCCTACCGATCCCACAGAATAGTATCTCCTAAAACACCAAGGTAACTGCATATGTTATGCTAGTCCCATAGATTTATACACAAACATGCCTTTGTATTATATTCTCTTGTTATTTTCTCTGTAGTAATTAAGGCCATTGTAGTTGGAAGTACTTACAAGAGTAGCAGTAAAGCCGGCAGCACAACCACAGGACTGGTGACGTAACTCATCACTTTGCTGAACCACAGTGGGAAGTCATTGGCAATGGTTTCAGAGATGATGTCGTAAATCTTCTCCTGTCCACTACAGAGCGGCAGACGAGATGTGAAAAAAAAATGCAGAAACAATCTGAATCCCCTTTATTTCCAGGCAACGGGGGTTTACGTGCACAAGGAATTGGTCTAGGTGTTCAGTTATTATAGTTTGCACTTCATTATTAATTGCAAGACATGTGACTTCTCGTAATCTGCAATGACATTAATGCTAAAACATGTTAGTAAACTGCATTAAATATGCACTACATTGCAATATCTTTAGACGGCCATAAGCATTCGCAAAAGTATGGAATAAAATCGATGTCATAAATATTTCATGCGCGAATAAATTTCATTCATTCGTTCATTTTCTTGTAGGCTTAGTCCCTTTATTAATCCGGGGTCGCCACAGCGGAATGAACCGCCAATTTATCCAGCAAGTTTTCACGCAGTGGATGCCCTTCCAGCCAAAACCCATCCCTGGGAAACATCCACACACACATTCACACTACGGACAATTTAGCCTACCCAATCCACCTGTACAGCATGTCTTTGGACTGTGGGGGAAACCGGAGCACCCGGAGGAAACCCACGCGAGCGCAGGGAGAACATGCAAACTCCACACAGAAACGCCAACTGAGCCGAGGCTCGAACCAGCGACCTTCTTGCTGTGAGGCGACAGCACTACCTACTGCGCCACTGTTTCGCCCAAATAAAATTCACGCATCTGTAATTATAAAATCAAAAAGGAAAAAGGAACGTAATTGTACTTGTAATTTTACGAGGGTAAAATACAAAATCTGTGATTAGAACAGACAGATACAACATTTTCTTTGCCTGTTTGTTTATGACAGATAAATTTATGATAGGTGTACTTTGCAAACATGAATAACAGTTTCACCACGAACACGACAACCTGATTACGAGTACAAATCAAACCGCGTCAAAATCCACTGTCAAAATTACGTCACTTCTGTCACACGCATTATTAAACAAGCGAGAGCCATCGATCACAACGGTGCGCTTGCTGGACACTTGAGCTCCCACACCGTCTCAGGTATGGAATGAAATCACTGTCATAAATATTTCATACGTAAATAAAATTCACGCATCTGTAATTATAAAATTGTAAAGGAAAACGGAACGGAAAGGAACAATTCGAACACCTACATTAGTCTCACCTCATATGTTTCTATTAACTGTCTGAATGAAAGTAATGCGAGTTCCCAGATTGGTGAGCACATTACCTTATTGGCTCACATCAGGTTTTATCCATAAATCCATCAATGAAGTGATCAATCCAGTGGCTTGTAACAAATGCCGCGAATGTGCACTTATCCTAGCAATCTACATCAGGCTTGGTGTAGAAGCTCGTTTTCATCCTGGATCAGCAAACTTGCAACGGACTAAGCCAAGAGGACCCGATTAAACTAGATCAAGCTGCACTTTTTCAGTTATCCTGGCTTTCTTGATTCCACTTTTGAGCAATACCCCTCAGATTTAAATGCTGTTCAAGCAGGATAGATTTGTACCTGAAAGGTCCACAATACTGAGACGGCCGGTATCTCACGATGGCAAAAATGGTGGGTAACATACACAGGAACAGCATGAACAGAAGCATGGCCAGGTAGAAGTTATTTGATCTGGAAAATAAAATAAATAAAAGATAAATTAACGAAGCATCATTAAACTGGGTGTTTAATTATACAATTGAAATCAAAATCCTTCTCCCTCCTGTGAATGTTTTTTCTTTTTCAAATATTTCCCTAATTATGTTTAAGAGAGCAAGGAATTTTTCACAGTATTTCTTGTAATATTTTTTCTTGTGGAAAAAGTCTTATTTAATTTATTTTGGCTAGAAGAAAAGCAGTTGTTCATTTTTTTAAAAAGCATTTTAAGGTCAATATTATTAGCCCACTTAAGCAATATTGGTTTTTGACTGTCTGCAGAACAATCCATTGTTATACAGTAGCCCCTTTCACACAGTGATATGGTAAATATCTGGAATATTTCCGGAACGACTTTACCGGTAAATTCATAAAAACATTGTTCACACAGGCACTGACGTTCCGGGATTTTTCCAGAAAAGACTATTCACACATCCATTCCAAAATACCAGTAAATTCTGACATCATTAACCAGAAATCAGCTCTAAATGGCTGCGCTTGTATTTGTAAACATAGAAGGGGTCGGGCTTTTGTTGATGGCTCCACTTTTATTTAAAGCTTTAGCATTAATGCAGCTGCTTTGTCCCAGAGACACCCAAACACAGAAGCTCCAACCACAGCTAAATGTTTACACACTTGACGACATTACAAACTATGTGGATTGATAAATGTTGGGTGCAATTTATATTTAAACATATAGAGGAATACTTTTGCATGTTGAGATGTTCATAATATGTGTGTGTGCTGGCGCTTACTGGCTCTTTCAAGTGCACACGCGTCAAGCAACTGAAGCAGAACTTAACAGAACTGAAACAGCGGTTTATCATAAGCATATTATGGATAATTTTTTACAAAGTTGGCATTAAGTAGGAACATAGGAGTGTTTTCTGAATAACATCTAGCAGCTAAATGTGTCTAGAAAAATATTCAAATGCTTTTATTTTTATAAACAGCACGGATATGAATGCGTCTGAGTGTTCTGATTGGCTAAAGCAGACGTCACACATCCGCACGCTCTAGACGTGCACGCGCTCTTCCCAGCAATCTTCCTTCTGCGTTCACACAGTGCAGCATTCCGGCAAATTACCGGTAATGGTAAAACTTCTCTGTACGGAAAATAGCCGGAACGAATTTACCGTTTTTTTCAAAAATGGCCTGTTCACACATACACACCTTTCTGGAAAATTGCGGGTAATTTACGGAAAGGTCTTTATGTGTGAAAGGGGCTAATGACTTGCTTAATTACCCTATAGTTAAGCCTTTAAATCCTCATTTACTCTAGAACGTTTTAGTTTTAAAATGACGTTTTAGAATGAAAACGACCTGCGTCCACACTAGCTTTTCACCCAGCGTTCCTGAACAACTCTCCGTCTACACCAAACCACTGAAAACGCACATCACCTGACCACACACACACACACACACTCTGGCATGCGCTGCAGCATATCTAGCCAGATGAGAGCTATGCTCGTCGGACTGTTCATCAAGGATCAACCACTGAATCCAATCTCAATATATTTGTTAATTGTGATATTTCATTCATCTAGTTCTCTATATCTAACGACATATTCCCTGTTACAGAAACATCTCCTGATGCACAACCTTGGACACATCATCAGTGTTGTTTCCTGGGCTCACAGGGTGTTTCGGGTCTTGCAACAGACACCCTCCTCCAGGCGACCCGACCGAGGCTGATCAGACCCCAGCCTGTGTCCAATGGGCATGCTACTGCCCCCACTGTTCCCCCCTCTTCAACCAGAGCCATTTGGATGCTTTTTCCGCTGCTTCCACGTTGTTGCTTAGGGCTCTTCTTCGGTTTGTGCCTGTTATTCCCAGTGTACCATAGGCCTTGCTCAGGGTGTAGCTGGCAAATCCCCTACTGCCCACTTCCCTAACTTTGGTCTTGAATCTATTACTGTACTTGTTCTCAGGTAACGTGTTTTGGCTGAGCGCAAAGTTAAGTTAATAATTAATGCAACCGTGTACATTCTGTATATAGACTGATTGTTTGTCTTTATTTCGTATATTGTATAAACTTATTGTGCATTATACTTTATAATGGCCATTATTTATTATTAAAACTGATATTCAGCAAAAGAGAGAGCATTGTATTTTCAATGAAAGTGAAAGGAGGCAGTTGTTATAGGCTTCGTTTTGTTGTAAATATCCATACAGTGAGGATGACGCTCATATATTGTCACCGACTCGGTCCCAGTCATTCCCCTCGCTGGCCAGCAGAGGCCACCATCTCCGGACTTTTAACATTACGTCATCCTTTTACTCTGATTCCAGCACACCTGATCTCCATTCCGTTAATGACTCACGTACCCTTTATAAGCAGCTCTCACACACACACCTGTGCAAAGTCTTGTTTAGCCCCGGCCAGCATTACTGAGCGTTCTATCCTGCCTGATCTCCCGTTTACTACTTCAGCCCGTTTCCTGACTCCGCTCTGCCTTCTGCCTGCCCACGACCTTAAGCCTGTTATACAGACTCTGATACTCGCTGCCTGCCCTCGACCCAAGCCTGTTACACGGACTCTGAATCACGCTGCCTGCCTCTGACCCATGCCTGGTAATCACTCTGTGTCTGCCTATCGCCAGCCCATATTCATTGCTGTGTATGTTGTATATTCGCACAGTCGTGCGTGTTGTATGTTGAGTAAAAGTGTGACTTAATAAATACTGCAAATGGATCCCTCCGTGTCAGTCTCCCCGTTACATATATGCAGCACAACGCCTCAACATTTCTGCTGTCTGTTAAGTTGCTGATATCAAAATGAAAATAGCAGTTCTTTATATCATGTTTTCATTTTATTGTTAGGATATAGTGAAACAACGAATCCAGGATGATGTGAATAAGGTTAGAAAATACACTGTTCCATTTGAAGATTTACCGACATGTCCTCGGGAGTCTGTTTTCCATATCCAACTTGTGAAGTCTGAACTTACAAGGAGAAGATGCAGAACTGAACTGTGTGTGTAGGTGTGGAAATATAAATTTATATCATCTAATTTCAAATGAACAATAATCTACGTATAACTAAAAAGTTATATTCTCTGGTTTTTAATTATATTATTTCATTGACATGCCAGCTAGGAGGGTCATTTAACCTTTATCTTTCTGACTACAGGCTAAGTCAGTGATGCAAATGCTTTAAACGACTCTGTCTTTGTCTTCGGGTGTTGCTTTTATGCTACAGAAACCCTATGTTGATTAACTTGTGTGGTCAGTAGCTGGGCCGTTTTTTAACACCTATGCCATGCTGACTCCAATACTGAATTTGCATGCTTTGTTTAGCTATATCCCCTCCTCCTAAGAACACAATATAGCCATGAAATCTTTGTCTTAATTCAGACTTGTGTGAGACTTGTGAGAGACTTGTGAAAGAATTTGCAGACTGCGGACCTCTAGTAGGCTCTTGCAGACACATGGACATCTTAAAGACGCTGTATGAATGCAGATTAACCAACACGTCTCAATAAAGGAATTCTGCTTGTTTCGAGTCTCCTGGACTGGGTTCTCTCTTCTTTTTCACTCATTTATTTATTTTTTTACAACAAGGCTACTTAATATTGAGGAAAAGCCCCAATCAGAGAGGCGAATGTCGGCAGCCCCGCCACCGTTTTCAGATGTCTCTGTTTTCCCCTGTCCACACTGAGACAGAACAGCAGCGTTTTAGAATGAAAACTGCCTCTCCAAAATTTACAAAATGCTCCGTTTTAGGCACTCGAAAACTCTGGTGTAGTGTGGACAGATGGCATAACCGCAGCAAAATGTATGCGTTTGAAAACGAAAACGCATTAGTGCAAACAGGGCCTAAATATCATTTTAAGCTTTATAGAAGTGTCTTAAAAAAGATCTAGTAATATATTATGTACTGTCATCATGGCAAAGATAAAATAAACTAGATATTATAAATGAGTTATTAAAACTATTATGTTTAGAAATGTGTTGACAAAAACCTTCCTTCTTTAAAAAAAGGAATTGGTGAAAAAATTTTTCAGGAGGGCTTACTGTATAATTCTGACTTCAACTGTATATGTGATATAATAAGTCAAACACTACCTGCCTGCAGTGGAATGCTTACACAACATTATCATATAAAGCAACAGTAACGTCGAAGATGAAATACACGGTAATGTTTGGCCTCACATCTGTGACTGACTGATAAAGCCGTGATGAAGACGCAATTACATAAATCTGAAAGAGAGCGAGGCTTTATCCAACGCAGTGGCTCGTCACGCTGAAGTAACCACTGTTATCTCTGCACTCGCCACGGGAAAACGACAGGGATTTGAATTCAGTCAAGCAGAGAATAAAAGTGTAGCACTGAGAGAGTCCCTGATCCGTACACTGAATGCTCACTGATTTTAAATTAACCTCACAGCTCATAAACACTCAAATCGTCTCACTTTACAGCTCTTGTCAGAGTAATTTACACTGCAGCCTTTTAGATCTTCAGAAAAATAAAGTTGTTTTCCAGCAAAAGAAACACGTACAGATTAGAAAAAAGAAATCCTTGTTATTTGTAGAATTTTTATATATACAGTTGAAGTCAGAATTATTAGCCCCCCTGAATTATTAGCCCCCCTGAATTATTAGCCCTCCTGTTTATTTTTTTCCTCAATTTCTGTTTAACGCATAGAAGATTTTTTTCAACACATTTCTAAACATAGTTTAATAACTCATTTCTAATAACCGTTTTATTTTATCTTTGTCATGATGACAGTAAATAATATTTGACTGGATATTTTTTAAGACTCTTCAATACAGCTTAAAGTGACATTTAAAGGCTTTACTAGGTTAATTAGGTTAACTAGGCAGGTTAGAATCATTAGGCAAGTTATTGTATAACGATGGTTTGTTCTGTAGATTATCGAAAAAAAAATATTGCTTGAAGGGGCTAATAATATTAACCTTAAAATGCTTTTTTTTAAATTTAAAACTGCATTTATTCTAGCCGAAATAAAACAAATCAGACTTTCTCCAGAAGAAAAAATATTATCAGACCTACTGTGAACATTTCCTTGCTCTGTTAAACATTCTTTGGGAAAAATTTAATAAAGAAAAAAATAAATTCAAAAGGGGGCTAATAATTCTGACTTCAACTGAATATATAAAGACTTCATTAGCACAGTATGACGGTTTGGCAAAGGAAGTTAAGGTTACAATGGGGTTAAATGTCACATTACTGATTTTTATATTCATTTTTGTGATGAAAATCTTGGGAAACAGGAATTTTTTTTTTGAAGTATTACGAGCTATAAACGTTTTTTTTTTTTTTGGGCATGTATGTTCTTTCTGTCTGTCTCTTTCATTCTCCCTTTCACATTTAGGTACCACCTACATTTGGAACACTATTGGCTGACATGACTGCCAATCACAATCATTCTGTGATGATGCATATTCCCTTCACCAATCACGATCTGCGTAGAGACTTTTAAATCGCAAGAGGCAACGAAAAAGAGATAAGCTGTTGTTTGAAGGTTGGCATGTCGTTTTCTGTTTTGTGGTGTCCGATTGTTTTAGCTTGATACTAATGCTGACTTTGAGTGAGATCTGTTGAAAGTTCTGTCATTTGAGCAAAATTACACGAGTAGCAGTAAGATGTGGCTGTATTTCGACACTGGTGGGAAGCCTTAGCGTCCCACCAGTGACAATATACAGCCATATTGCACTGCTACGAATGTGATATTGTATTTATACAACAGTTCAATGGCATAATCCTGTATATAAAAAAGAAAATCATACACGAAGAGTCTAAAAACCCTGCAGCTGACGTCAGAACAGCAAAAACAGTTGCTCATCCACCAACATCACTTTAGAGCTAGTATTTGAATGATTCTCTAGCTTAATGTTTAAAGTAATGACAAAACAGCTAATATGGTCACATTTTAAGATTATAAGGCTGAACGGCATGAAATGCCCTCTGTCTACAGAGATATCTCGTTACAGTATTACAGTCTACAGTATTTCTATGTTGCAATCGGGATATCACAATAATTAACCCCTAAAAAAAAGCAGCACAATCACTACCAGATTGCTGTTGTGTTTGCGATAAGGGAAAACGTTAAACACATGCAGGCATTTCTTTTTTCTTTCTGCCAACACAACACACATTCCTGATGTGCGAGTCCCGTCTCACACTCAATACACCACAATTATATCGTATAAATACAGAGCTACAGCATACAAAAAAGAACGATTGACTTAGAATATCACTTTTATATGATTTATAATGAATTGATTAGCTGTAGTTTAAAATTACACTGTATTTTTCCTACTCTAAGGGCTTATTATGCGGTCTCTGTCGCCATCTTATGGATGGACAATGTCAACTGACTTTGCTCAGTATGACAGGCTAATGGCCACCGACTCTCAGAAATTATAAATATTTTAAAATAGGCACTATCCTTAAAAATAAACTGCATAGTTGCAATTTAAACATCCACATTCTTGCCTAAAAAGCCTCAAAAGTTCATTATGTTGTCCATCAGCAGCAATATTTGTCAAACTGTAGAATGCCCTATGCTTGTTGCTGTATGTGGGCAGGGTAATACACAAGGGTGAAAAGACGGTACTAGTGCTGTTACTGGCAGAATATTGCACGGCTATCAACCAATCAGACTCAAGAACCAGACAGAACTGTTGTGTGTATATTATATATATAT